AAAAGTGCAGTTTAGTTCAAATTGCATTAAAAAAATACTGGAAATATAAATCTTTAATAAGTATTAGTTTACTTTCCTTCGTTAAGAGACTATTTATAGATTGTGTCTCTTAGATGGCTTGTTCCCTAACCTCCAGCTATTTAGAATAAATTTAAAACAAGAGAGAAAGTAGACAATTACCACAAAGAAAAGGATTGTCTGTTCTACTTGACTGCACACATCCAACAAATGGAAGCTCACAGGAGTCACCCATCAATTTCCAGTGTGATCATGTTTTTTAAAAGTTTCTTTGGACCTGAAACAGGGAACTCCATAGGTACAGGGGAGCAACTACTGAGTGAGTGAACCAGAGCCAGAGACCCCTGAGGGTCTGACGTGAATCTGGGACCTTCAAGGGGGTAGACCTAAGCCAGAATCCCTGTGAGCCTGGGCATGAACCTAGGACTTCTGAGGAACTAGGTCTGAGCCAGGTCCCCTGCAGGTCTGGGCATGAATATGAGACCTCCGAGTGAGTAGACAGGAACCAGAGATCTCTGTGGGTCCAGGTGTGAGTCTGGGACCTCAGAGGGAGTAGGCTTGAGCCAGGACCTCTGTGGGTCCAGGCATTGGTCTGGTACATCAAAGGGAACCAAAAACCTCTGCGGGTCCAGGTTTGAGCAAGAGTGAGTCTGGGACCTCTGAGGAGTAAGTCTGAGCCAGATCCTCTGTAGATCTGGGCACACCCGAGCCTGGGAACTCCAAGGGAGTATACCGAAGTCAGAGACCTTTGCAGGACCAACTCCAAGACAGGGACCTCTGCAGGAGTGGATCCAGACCAGGATTTACAGAAACAGGTCAAAGCCAACAACCTAGGCTAGAGTAGGCCTGAGACAAACTTCAAGGGAGTAGAGCAAAGCCCGGGAGTGCTGAACGACCTCCAGGAACACGGAGTGACCAAAGGGGTAACGAGAACCCTGGCACTAACTGTACCACAAGGAACAAACATCTGAGCCTTGGATTCACTGGCACCTAGAAGATTAATCAACAAAATCACCAACAGCCCTAAACACACCTATTAGAGGAAAAGATGAGTAGAAAAAGTAAGAACACAGGCAACACCACAAAGAGCAACATGACACCAGTAAAACCTAAAAACCCTACAACAGCAAGACGTGAACAACCAAATATAGATGAATCAGAAGAAAATGACCTAAAAGAAAAAAAAAAAAAACTTCAAGAGAATGGTTGAAACTCTTAAAAGAGGAAATGAGAAATTCCTTCAAAGAAATGGAGGAAAAGACAAACAAAAAACTGGAAGACATTAGCAAATCACTTAAAGAAAGCCAAGAAAAAGAAATCAAACATATGAAAGAAACTATTCATGACTTTAAAACTGAAATAGAGACAATAAAAAAAAAACACAAGCCGAGGAAATTATAGAAACAGAAATCATGAGAGAATGATCAGGAACCACAAATGCAAGCATGAACAGCAGAATACAAGAGATGGAAGAGAGACTCTCAAGTGCTGAAGATACAATAGAGGAAACAGACTCATTAGTCAAAGAAAACATTAAATCTAACAAAAGCTTAATCCAAAATATCGGAAATATGGGACACCATGAAAAGGCCAAACCTAAGAATAATAGGTATAGAAAGTCAATTAAATAAATCCAAATTATATTCTGCTATCCTCATAGTCCAACTGTCATCAAAGAGTCTTCACCCCGCAACTGATGGAAACAAAAGCAAAGATCCACAGCCAAACATCAGGAGGAGCTTGGGGAATCTTGCAAAAGAGGAGGAGAAAGGATCACAGGACCCACAAGAAAGGGCACCACAAGAAAACCCACAAAGCCATCTAATTTGGGCTCACAGAGGCTCACAGAAACTGAACTGACCATCAGGGAACCTGCATGGGATTGACCTAGGCCCTCTGCTTATACATTACAGTTGTGTAACTTAGTCTCTGTGTAGACTCCTAACGGTGAGAGCAGGGGCTGCCTCTGACAGTGTTGCCTGGTTTAGGGACCCATTCCTCCTCCTGGATTGCTTCATGTAGCATAAAACATCTCTGAGTAACTCTGACCAAACAAGTGGAAGACCTGTATGACAAGAACTTTAAATCTTTGAAGGAAGAAATAGAAGAAGACACCAGAAAATGGAAAGATCTCCCATGCTCTTTGGTATGTAAAATTAACATAATAAAAATGGCAATCTTAAAGGCTATTGACTGAAAGAGTTCCCACAACACCACTCCTTCCCTTCTCAGAAGGAAAAGAATCACTGAATTCAGACAAAGTTTCTCGTACTCACCTCCCCGGTGAACTGGAGCTAAACATAAAATGAATAATGAATATGATTGGTCCTTTTGAACTGCATTATTAGGCACTCTCGCAGCTGGCATTTCCACGGCTATCATCATTCCTAGTGTCTAGCACAGACTTCTCCCCCCTTTTGTGCCTTTGGTCATTTCTATGAGATTGCTCAGTGGAGCCAGGTGCTGAAATCACTCACTTGCTTTTAAGTCCCCTGTGCCTCTATCCGTAGGAAGAGGCTGGCCACTTGTGCAGTCGGCTAGTTTAGCCCCGAAATAACCACACAGAAACTGTACTAATTAAGTCATTGCTTGGCCTATTCGCTGTAACTTTTTATTGGGTAACTTTTACATCTTAGTTTAACCCATTTCTAGTAATCTGTGTATCACCATGAGGCTGTGACTTACCGGGTAAAATTCCCAGCATCTGTCTCCAGCAACTCCATGGCGTCTCTCTGACTTTATCTTCTTCCTCCCAGCACTTAGCTTAGCCCTCTCCACATACCTAAGTTCTGCCCTATCAACAGGCCAAGGCAGTTTCTTTATTCATTAATGGTAATCACAGCACGCAGAGGGGAGGGGACTCCCACATCATCTATCTTTCTTTTTTTCTCCCCTGCCACTCAGAACAACAATCTACTGCTAAAGCATCCATTAAGGGGCAGGTTAATATTTCCTCTTTAGTTGGACACTCATAATTCAAGAATATGGGAGTAAACACATGAGAAACACCACCATTCCAGAACACGCTCTGCTTAAGAAGCGGCTTCTGCTGAGCCGTGAACTGCGCTCCATTCCTTCCAGAACAGCAGATGTCCCTGAGTCACCAGGGCTCACTGTCGGAAGTATCTAACATCTGAAAGATAAATCCAACATTAGGCAGCTGACCACATGTGTGCCTCTGAAACTATGGCAACAGAAAGTCCTATTACCTCTGTGTCCCAATTAAAAGTGGTCTGTTGGCTGTAATTGGCTGCTTGGTCTCCAAAACTAATACATCAAAGCAATCGTATAAGCCTCAAATGTCACCATCGTACAAATTGACATTTTCCACACAAGCAACTAATGAGTGGTCAAGAGCAAAGAGCACATGCAATGGAGGCCGCCGAGAACAACTGGGTAAGTCCACTCTTGGACACTTCTCGACGTGTCCCATCCACAGATTTGACAACTGGTTGAACGCTGGAGTTGGAGGAAGAAGAAGGCTAGAAATAGGAAGCTAAGTATCCAAGAGGATAGAGGGACTTTCAGGACTGGGGATGCGGCTCAGGAGTTGAGTGTTGTCTGGCATGTAAAGGCCCTAGGTTCAATCTCCAGTTTCCCCTCTTGCCAACAAAAGAATTTTAAAATGGAAATTTATTTTTTAAAAAAAATATTTTTATTTTTAAAGTTCTAACTTATTATTTTTTATTTATTCAATTAAAAAATACCAATTCAAATTCCCACTCCCTCCCCTCCTCCCATTCCCTCCACATAACCCCCCACCCCGCCTCCCTCTAACCCTAAGTGAGGGTAAGGCACTTTGCTTTGTGGAAGGTCCAAGACCCTACCTACTACATCTAGGCTGAGCTAGGTATACATTCAAAGAGAACAGGATCCCAAAAAGCCATTACATGCAGTAGAGATAAATCCCAGTGCCATTTCCAGTGGCCCCTCAATCTGCCCCAAGCCGTACAACTGTCAACCACATTCAGAGGAACTAGTTTGGTCCTATGCTTGTTCCTTCCCAGGTGAGTTGGTGAGTTCCCATTAGCTCAGGGAAACTGTTTCAGTAGATGAACCCTTCATGGTCTTGACCTCTTTGCTCATATTCTCATTTCTTCTACTCTTTTTTTAGAATATTTATTTATTTATTATGTATACAATATTCTGCCTGTGTGTATGCCTGCAGGCCAGAAGAGGACACCAGACCCCATTACAGATGGCTATAGGCCACAATGTGGTTGCTGGGAATTGAACTCAGGACCTTTGGAAGAATAGGCAATGCTCTTAACCTCTGAGCCATCTCTCCAGCCCCTCCTTCTACTCTTCAACTGGATTTAGGAGCTCAGTTCAGTGTTCCAATGTGGGTCGCTGCCTCTGTTTCCATCTGTTGTTGGACGAAGGTTCTATGGTGATATTTAGGATAATCATCAGTCTGATTACAGGGCAAGACCAGTTCGGGCACCCTCTCCTCTATTGCTTAGGGTCTTAGCTGGGGTGATCTTTGTAGATTCCTGAGAATTTTAAAAAGTAGAAATCTAGAAGGACTTTTAGCTGAAATGAGAAGAAAATATATGGTGTTCCATGGAAAAAAATGTACAAGGTCAGAAATGAATCTATTCAAGTCTCCTTGGTTAGGGTAGGATGCCTGGCATTTGACAGGTCACATAACATTTGACTTCCATGTCTGGTTGAAAGGTATTAACTAGCAATATTGATAACATGATACTTTCAGATTTGTTTTGTCCTTGGTTCTAAATCAGCAAAACATGGAACAACTCGGCTTTTAGTTTCTTTGATGTTAAGAATGAAGTGATCCATAAACAAATGATTGAAAAGACACAGCTGACCGGGTCCTACAGTTTTTTTCTTGATATGAAAACTCCTTAGGTAATGGCAATAATTCTGCCCTCTGATACACTCACTAATGTATTTCATACTCTTTACTAGTGTAAAGGTGGGCTTCCCAGAACATGTCCATACAGATTTGTTTATTATATCACAGGAATACGGCTACAGGTAAGAGAAAGCCCAAATCCTAACAATTTAATCTAGTCATAAAAGAGAAGGTTCATGACAATTCATCAGGTCACACATGTAAGTTGGAATTTGGTCAGCTCCCTGGGTCACATGGCATCCGAATTCTAGCAAAAGGAGTGCATGAGAAAACACCACGTTCGCTGGGTCTCGGCTGTAAGGTAACTGTTATGGTTGGTGTGTAGTTGTCAACGGACACACCCTACAACCCTGTGAGATGGGCCTCTGAGACCATCTGTGAGAGATTATCCTAATTAATAATGTGGGGGCACTGCTCCCTGGGCTTAGGATCCTGGACTGAATAAAAAGGATAATGCTAGCCAAGCCCTGAAACGCACTATTCCATTTCTCTCTGCCCTGGACTGTAGATGCAGTGCGATCAAATCTCTCACGTTCCTGCTGCTATGTTTTCTCTCCCATGATGGACTGCAGCTAGAAGTGTGAGCCAAATGAACCCTTACTTCTTTAGGTTGTTTTTGCCACCATGTTTTAGCAGGATGACAGGAAAAGAAACTAAGTCAGAAATCTTCTCAGTAGCTCTGCATAGCAACATCTGCTTTCATCGCCCTAGACAGACTCACATCGCAAAGGTCAGATTATCTGCAAAGAAATCTTTGGCATGTTAATGGCTAGCTCCATCATGATCACATAGCTGGAGTTCTGTTAATAATAAAGAAGAGAAGCCACCTTCATCCTCTCTCCATCCAACCTACACGTGTCTGGTATTTTTTTTGTGTGTTAACCACTAGACAGCCTTCAATCTAGGCTTTCAAGAAACAATCCATGCATGATCTATCATTAGAACAAAGAAACTCAAGTCAAAAGAGCTGAGATCCAGCTGTGCCTCGGCCACTTGCTCTGTGACCTCCAGCAGGTAAATCTTCTACTTCTGTTTCTAATCAGCAAAATGAGAGAGTTTAAAGCAATCATTGTAAAGGTTTATTTTAGAACCTAGTAGATATCCAAGCTCTATTGTGCTGCGCTCCTGGGCCTGGGCCCTACGCTTTTGTTCCTGGTAGACAGGGAACATTGTTGGAGTGACCACTTTGGGAATCTTGTTAACTCGTTAAATAAAATAAAAATAGTTCCTTCTCCCATGTTAAAAAAAAAATGGTTGGGAGGCAATGGTAGTTCTTAGTTGATATGCCTGATCCAATTCAACAAGGTCCCTGGGCTATTCAAGATCAGTATGTCTGTGTGTTCTCAAGGTGAGAGATCACCCACGGAAGTCAAAGGTAACATGATCTATTAAGGGTGAGACACCCAACAGTTGTCTCCAGGGAGCAGTAGCTTCTGCAACCATGACTGAATCCAAACTTCCAAGAAAACTCTGGGAATGAAAGGAGTGAAAACACATGGAGCGAAGGGGGCTAGAAAAGCGAGCCAGGAATGCTCGCTCAGATCACACTGTGAGAGTCACAGTATGAGAGGGACCGGTTATGCTTTACAACCTGGACCTGTTTAATTAGTGACAATATTGTGGCAAACCCTGTGAAACCTGAGAATAGACACTTTCAGGAGCTGCCTCTGGTTAGCTAATAAGTTGGGCTTTGAAATGCATCTATGACTCTATTATCACTTATCCTTCTGATGCATTAACAGAGGTACTTGGTCTCTTGGGAAAGATTTGCAAGAAGATGCTGCAGATAGATGAACACTTTGTGCCCCTTCCCCATGTCCATCCCACAGGCTCGAACTGGGTCCATGGAGGAGTCTGAGAGATCACCGAGGTTTCTGGAAAGAAAAGAGAGCGAGGTGTCAGAGACCTACAGGGACACACCAGAGAAGAAGAAACAAAAGAAATTCAGCCGGATTCAAAAAAGGCTAACAAAGCAAAGAGGATGCAGAGTTCATATTTTTCACCAAAATAAAGCCATGAGAATTTCATGAGAATATGTGTGAGAAAATAATAACGGCACTAAAACCAGAGAGGTTTGTGTATGTGCATATGTATTTAATTCCAGTCTGTCATTCTAATTAATAAGTATCATGTCAAATAAATTTAGCTATGAGATAATTAGCAAAGAGATAAGGTATCTATTTCTTAAATTATTTGTATTTATAACAATAAAGCATAGCCTCTGTGCATTAATTACTTTTATGCATAAAATACTCATAATCTATTTGATAATCACTTAGAATGATAGTAATAGTAATATTGTTTCCATTTGCCATAAAAATCTGATGGTAGGTTTTTGTTTTATTTTTCTTTGAGACAGGGTCTCATCATGTAACTACAGATAGCCTAGAATTTGTACACAGACCAGGCTGGTCTGGAACTCACAGAGATCTGCATTTCTCTGTCTTCAGAATGCTAGAATTAAAAGTATACACCACCATAATCAGGCAACATGAGACGCTTGCCTCTAATATTAACCACATTCTTTAAAGTCTCCAAATCTTTGAAATAGTAAGGTGAAAGAAGAGTTACAATCTTGGAAAAAATTTAATTATACCACAGATAGACATAATCATTGAATATGTAAAGAACATATTCAAAAAGAAAAGACCAGTAGTCTAACATAAAAGACAAAAATTGGTCACTTCTGACTGAAGGACTTATTTGACAATGCAAATATGCAACAAACATGAGAGCCCTCAAATATGCACATCCCAGAGGTTCTGAGAATGCAGAGACATGCACTTTTCCTTCCCTCGGCCCAACTGTGATTTCAGAAAATCCATTTTGACACACTATCATTTTATAGAAAATTCTACCTTACATCAGTAGGCAGAGGCTGCTCATTCATTTTCCGACTGCTCAGACACAAACAATCACACAGATGCTATATTAATTACAGCACTGTTTGGCCAATAGCTTATGCATATTTCTAGCTAACTCTTACATCATTTTTTAAAATTTATTTATTTATTTATTTATTTATTTATTTATTTATTTATTTATCTGTGAATCATCACGAGGCTGTGACCCACCAGTACGGTTCTGACTGGCAGCTGGCATGTTTCTCCTTCGGCAGCTACGTGGCATCTCTCTGACTCCACCTACCTCTTCTCTTTATCTCTGTTTGGATTTCCTGCCCAACTTTACTCTAATAAGTCATTGGCCAAAATGGCTTCTTTAATAACCAATGGTAATAAAACATATTCATAGCATACAGAGAGGGATCCCACATCACATCACCTTGCCCCGAATCACATACACGAATATAAAACAGATGGCTCCGTTGGTAAAGTACTTGCTACACAAGCATGAGAAACTGAGTTCAGATTCCCAATATCCACATAAAAAGCTAAGTGTTGTATTTCTCGCCTGTAATCTTAGTGCAGGGGAAGTATAAGCAGGAGGATCCCTGTAGATCACTGGCCATCTCATATTGCTGAATTGGTGAGTTCCAGGGTCAGTGAGAGACCCTGGGTCAAGAATAAGATAGAGAGCAATAGAGAAAGACATCCCACATCAACCTCTAGTCTTCACACACAAATAGACATGTGCATACACACACACATGTGTACAGACACAAACATGCATATGCATACAACACACATATAATACGTACACAAGAAAACTGTAGAGGGACTTTAAGTACCATTTGGCCAGATTTTAAAGAAGGTCAAAAAATGTTTGCTATTAGAGAGCTGTTCATCTGACTTAGAGACTCGCCAAGAAAAAAACAAATCAATGTGTGAGAAATAATCCTGCAAGTCTGTAATTAGTTGTAACCTTATATAGATAAATCATAATAGCAATCTCATAGCCTCATACTGAGTTCTGCCACTTACAAGATACTGTGACAAAGATATGCTTAATCTTGTCAATAGCTCTTAAAATAAAAGGGAATGTGATTCAGGTTTTATAGATGCATATTTCATTAATCAAGTTCAGATTTTTAAAACCCAAAACCTAAACATTGTACCAGAGTCCTAGGCTGCACATAGTCTTAAGGCAGCATTCTGGTAGAGGAGCAGAATAAGAGAATGAAGGCATCAAAGCAAGAGAGTGTTGCAATAAAATGAAATGGTAAGTAAAAAAAAAAAAAAACAAAAACCACACTGCTATACAAGAATAGTCAAGAAAACTAAAGACATTAAATGTAGAAATTACATTTAACATGTATTTAATTTTAATGCTTTTAATTTAGAAGCTAAAAAAAATAGAGATGCATCTATATACACATTTAGTACGGCCAAAATTCACTACATCAACACTGAGAAGTGTTGGCATGGATATGGAATGATGGGAACTCTCATTTCCTACTGATGGGAACATGAAATGCACAGCCACTTTGGAAAACAGTTTGGCAGGTTCTTATGAAACAAAACACATTCCTACAAATGATCCAGCAAGCACAGTCTTCGCTATTCCTCCAAATGAATTGAAAACACACCACACACACACACACACACACACACACACACACACACACACACACACTCAAACACACACACACCTGTGCTTGCACATTTTTAACAGCTAATGAGATCAAAAGCAACCAAGATGTCCTTCAGTATGTCAGTGAATGAATATTGTAGTAAATGCAGTCAGAGCTGTGTTATTAAGACCTAGACGGCTCCCTAGTGGTGACGACCTCAAATGAGACCATCATTAATTGGCCACTCCCATGTGTTCTGCACCTCCATTGCCCTAGTTCATCTTACAGATGGGATATATTATAAATAGAAGGTTTTGTAGCTGGGTTGGTGTCCCAGACCCATCTCTGGAAGCCTTACCTAGTTACAGAGGATGGCTGGTTCAGGCTCTGGATCTTCATTACTAGGAATCCTCACTAGGGTAACCCTTGTAGAATCCTTGCCTCCTCTGACCTTGATATGAGGGTTTATGCCTTGTTTCAGTGAATCCTGAATGGCCTGCTTTTTTTCTGAAGGGAACAGGTGAAGAAGTGGATCTGGAGGCAGGGGGTTGGAAGGAGGGGAGAGAGGAAACCGCAGTTAGAATGTATTGGGGGGAAAAAAAACCTAAAAGGAGCCTGGAGGTGATGGCATATACTTTAATCCCAGTACTTGGGAGGTAGAGGCAGGTAGATCTCTGAGTTCGAGGCCAGCCTGGTCTACAGAGCAAGTTCCAATATAGCCAGGGATACACAGAGAAATCTTGTTTCAATATATATATATATATATAT